TTATTATTATTATGTTTAAGTTTCTATATTCAGTTATTATTCTTTTTAACTACATAATATCAAAAACATTGCAATGTTTTCGAAAGTTAAATTAAAAAAAAAAAAAAAAATTGTTTTAGTCTTGAAATTAATAAAGAAGTTCGGCACCAGGCTCTTCGATGCTGAAGATACTCGGTGTATCCGGTTGGCTATTTATGTTATATGGCTAATGCTTTTATGCTTTTCTAGTAACAAAATTCTTGAAAGTATTTCTTGACGATGCATTTACAGTTTTGGACGGTAAAGAATTCCAATCATTTACGACACGGTTTATGAAATAATGGAGTCGTTCAGCACAATTTGACACAATACATACATACATATATATGTTATTTTGGTGTTATGATATTTTGGTTTTTTCGTATCTATATAGCTAAATAAAGCATAAAAAAATGATTTAATATTTATATTCGCATGGACTTAAATTATGGTTAGTTAAAACTTTCAGTCTTAAAAAATTGTTGTAGTTTATGCTACAAAAAAGTAATAGTATTTCAAAAGTTCAATTATCAAAGATTTATACGAAGTACCAATGCATTTGACCTCCAGTTGTTCTTAAAAAGTTGCGTTAAAAAACGTTGGCTCAAAGCCTCTCATTAAGCAAACTTTTGTCTTAAAGACTCTCATTATGTTTTTTGCAGTGCTATTGGTAGCTTTATTGCACTTTATATTTAAGCTGTTCGGACTCCATGTTAACATTATCTTGTATTTTATTTACTATATACATATACATAACCTAAAATTTACCAATAGAATGATTTTATTGACAATTAGGTGAATTGTAACCCTAAGGTATAATTGCAATGCAATTTTCTTGGTACCAATTCTTTATGCTTTTCCAGGCACTTCTAATTGTAAAGTTTGGCGTTCATTACCTTTAATGTAATAAATAACTTTTAGAAAATTATACAGCTTTGCATATTGTTGTTGTTGTTGTTGTTTTCAATAATTTTTATCTTATTAGCCAATTTCGCCGATATGATGAACATTATCATATGGTTATCAGTTACTGTAATATCTACAAAAAACTCGCTTCATGGTCTATGTAATACCAGCGTAAAATACGGGATATTTGTCCAAGGTCTGGCTTGACATAAGATTCGTCATCAAGAATTAGGCAACTATCGAGTTTGTAATTTTTAATACATTTCTGCTGCTTTTTTATACAATTTGGATATTTTAACTATTTTATAAGAGTAAATACAGTAAAAGAATTTGTTTCACTAAATAACAAGATGTTTTATATTTTGTTGCTCTTTAATAGACAGTCAAGAATTCTGCAAAATTTGAATGATAAGTGTCCTTTGTTTGTTGTTTGCTTTGTTCCAGAATCTGAATTGCAATAAGCTTCTAACGTTTGAGACCCCGATAAACAGTTAAGTGATTTTGGCTACTTTTGAAATTGTTCTATCTGATGATCATCTTGATCATTCTAAATAATGATCCAGAATTTCCGAAAAAATAAAAACTAAATGGGAAAATATTTTTGCGGTTGATTTACTCAATTGTCAGCATTTTTAGTATTATTGTTTTATTATAACTATTGTTATTATTATTAATACTATAATTAGTTATATATATATATATATATATATATATATATATATATATATATATATATATTATATATATATATATATATATATATATATATATATATATATATATATATATATATATATAATTAAAAAACTTCTAAAAATACTTTGTATGGTTTCAACAAAGAAACTTTCATTTAACCTCGACAGGACTTTGTTTTAGAGCATATATAAGGCTTTATTGCCCACCAATTTATATACCAAAGCTTTATTGCCCACCAATTTATATACCATAATACTTTATATACCATCTTCTATACGCAGATGATACTGTAATTTGCACCACAACCAAAGAACTCCGAAATTTACTTGAATTATGATCTAGTCATGCTTTGAAACATGATAAAACTTTAATCAATAATATCATATTAATTGATAATTTTAATCAATATTATCGATAATGTTTATCTTATTAGCCAATTTTGACGATATGATGAACACTATCATATGGTTATCAGTTACTGCATTATCTACAAAAAAAACTCGCGTTATGGTCTATGTAATCCTTATAAGAAATCATTTTGTCTGCACTTAAATTATCCATAATGGACTAATACTGGCAAGCCATTTGTGAAACAAAGCGCCTATACTCCTTGTTGATATTTGTAAACAATAATACTCTTCTTTGTTATTGCTACAGTTAGAACATTATAATAAAATCCTTTTTTGGAATCTTAAAAACTCATTCTTTTTTGGAATCTTAAAAACTATTGACAATAAAATCTTTATTATCTTGGGACTAAGTATATAAATTAAAATATATATATACATATATATATACATATACATATATATATATATATATATATATATATATATATATATATATATATATATATATAGAGGCCAGCGCGATAGGGGTGTCACCCCCCTCCCCCATCAATAATTTTTAGTCGGCAAATGTGACCCTTTTTGACTAGTTAGTCGGCAAATGTAGACCCTGTCGATAGTTCAGTCGGTAAAGTCAGTCGGCAAATGTCGTTATGGCAGTCGGTAAATTTTAAAAAACGAGGACCTTTTTTTTTTTTTTTTAGACGGCAAAAGTTGTAATGGCCCCCCCTACGTGACCCCTACTCGCGCCGGCCCTATATATATATATATATATATATATATATATATATATATATATATATATATATATATATATATTTATATATATAATTATATTTAGATGAATAAAAACAACTGATTAGCGGGACTTAAAGTTTCATGCCCGAAGGCAATCATCAGCCGTTAATACAAACAAAAAACGTAAACAAACCGTTACAAAAACGTAAAAATTACTGTAAAATGACATCTGACGTTATAAACAAATCTACGTAAAAAACAAATCAAAAAACAAAAAGCCGTTATAGTTTATTAGACCCCTGTGTCAAATAAAGATAAAAGGAATTTTTTTGAATGTCGACACTGAAATAAGATTTCGTTTTTTTTATTCAGTAGGTTTTAAAATATCAAAACTATACGTAAATCTCACAAAACCCTAACACATGCTGACAAAACATCAAATATGTATAAACTATCTAAAGAAGATTACAATAATCTGTTAACAAATGCTATTACCACTACCAACAAATTAGCAAATCCAAAATTAAAAGACCATATAAACAAAGAAGGAAAACAAATTTTAACCAACCACGAGGTATATAAAAAAATAGAAATAAACGAATCTTCTAACTGTTTTTTCACTTTGAAAGATCACAAGGAAAACTTCGCTAACAATCCATCTGTGCGCCTTTTGAACCCTTCAAAAAATGAGGTAGGACGAATTTCTAAGGTAATTTTGGCAAAAGTTAATTGTGAAATTAAAAATAAACTTTTTTTGAATCAATGGCAAAGTACGCAAAATGTTTTAGACTGGTTTAAAAAAATCACTAATAAGCACTTATACAAATTCCTAGTTTTTGATGTAAACGATTTCTACCCTTCCATAAAGAAAAGCACCCTCAACAATGCTATGAATTTTGCTGACCATCATATCGTTATCAAAAGCGAAGATAAAGCATTAATAAAGCATGCAAGAAAATCTCTTATCTTCAACAACGATGAAGCATAGATTAAAAAAAGAGGTGGGTTTTTCGATGTAACAATGGGGGCATTTGATGGTGCTGAAGTTTGCGAATTAATAGGTATTTTCATACTGTATCAAATTTCGCAATATTATAATAAAGAAGATTTCGGCCTTTATCGTGACGACGGTCTTGCTGTATTCAAGAACAAAAACGGTCAGCAAATGGAAAAAATCAAAAAGCATATAACTCATTGTAAAAAAAAACGATCTTCAAATCACCATTCAATCTAATTTAAAAATTGTTAACTACCTCGATGTTACGTTAAATCTAAGTAACGATACGTTTCAACCGTATTCTAAACCTGATAATCAAATAAGGTACATCCACTCTCATTCTAACCACCCTTCAAGCATAATAAAAGCAATCCCTCGCAATATTGAACAAAGATTATCTTCCATGTCAAGCAATGAAATATTCTTCAAAAAGGCTATTCCACCGTATGAAGAGGCTTTAAAAAAATCGGGATACAAATCGAACCTTATCTCCCAACCACAAATAAACCAATGTAACTGCGTAGATAAGGCATTTTGCCCTTTGAACAATCAATGTTTATCTAACAATATTGTCTATCAAGCAACCGTAAGTTCCAGTCATCATGATTGTAATAAAAAAGTATATTTTGGCATTAGTAATACAGCATTTAAACAAAGATACGCAAACCATCTCAAATCATTTGCATCAGTTAAATATAGAAAAGACACAGAACTATCTAAGGAGGTATGGAACTTAAAAGACCAAAACATAAAGCCCATTATACACTGTTAAAAAAATATCGCGTTTTTTACGGAAATTTCCGGCAGCAGATTTTCCAGAAAGTTTCCGTTGTTTTACGGAAAAATAAAGTGTTGAAGGAAATTTCCGTACAAATTACGGAAAAAATCTATCATCGAAATAACAGATATTTCCGTATTTAAACGGATATTTCCGTTAACATGTGACTGATTTTTTTGTAAAATAACGGAAAATTTCTGGAAAATCTGCTGCCGGAAATTTCCGTTGAAAGCGCAAAATTTACTTTACAAAAAAACTCTTCTAAAAATGTATTCCTTAAACGATAAAAAAAATTAATAACATAAATATATTCTGCAATTATTAATGTCATAAGTTGCTCTAAACATTGCATAAAAAAAAGTTAAATAAAAATTTATATATATATATATATATATATATATATATATATATATATATATATATATATATATATATATATATATATATATATAATATATATATATATATATATAGATATTATATATATGCTTTTAGAACAAATAACTGTTATCTTTCTTTCTTTTTGCGTTTTTTCTCGCATTCTTTTGATTATAGCCAAACATATCTCTAAACACGAAATAAATTACATAATCATGACATAGATTATAAATTAAAATCTGTGAAATTAAGAAAGAGATGCATATATTGTGAACCTTCTTTTACTTTTTGCATAAGCTTATTTTTTCTTTTTAAATTTTTTTAAGCTTACATATTATTGTATAAGCTTTCGCATGAGCATTTTTCGAAGATTTTATATGCTTATAATATAAACTTTAGCTGCTTTAAAAAATTTGTTTTTACCTTAGAATCAACACCAGTAGTCTATTAACATTATGATCGTATCTTGTGTTCTTGATATGATGGACCATAAATAAATTCATCAAATGGTAGACCACAAGCAAAATTATCAGTTTAAAAATAACAATAAAAACATTATTAATATAATATAATAAAAATTAGTTTAAAAAAATTAAACGAACTCTTTAACTTTTTATTAAAATATAAATATTATTATTACATTTATATATATATATATATATATATATATATATATATATATATATATATATATATATATATATATATATATATATATATATATATATATATATATATAAATACATTTACTATTTTTCTCTCTACAAAGTATCCAGATTCAATACAATGCTTTTTCAGTGCTTCCAGATTCCATATTTATACTTTATGCTTTGTGGATTTTAACTTTTTAAACTTTCCATATTATAGCCAACCATATACCTAACATCACAAATATAAATGCTTTATACAAATGAGTGAAATAACAAATGAAAATATAAATACAGCAAAATCACGAATACAAATGAAAATATGAATACAGCAAAATTGTAAATCTTTGTCTGAAGTTTAAGACATTCAATTCTTAAAACAAAAAATATATTGCTTGTTTTAAGAAATAAACTTCCTATCCTGCAATTTATTTCTTAAAACAAGAAATATATTTCTTAAACTATAAACACTAGATTAACAATATTGCTGTAAATCTTAAAGCAAGAAAAAAATTTCCTACACTGTAATTTATTTCTTAAAACAAGTAATATATTTCTTGTTTTAAGAAACAAATTGGGGGATAAGAAATTTATTTCTTAAACAAGATAAATATTTCTTGTTTAAAGAACTAAATGTCTTAAAATATGGACTAAGATTTAAGATTTTGCTGTGAAGAAATGCTACTTGTAATACTTTTCATCAGTTAAAGATTTATTGTTCAAGATTTATTAGTTAAATCTTATGGATTACTTGGCATTAATTAGAAACTGTTTTAAAATATCTTTTTTCTTCTTAAATTTTTTTTTTCACATTACTTTGTTAGAACTTCAATGAAAAAAAAAAATTTCTTCTAAAAAGAAAATATATACTTTTATCTCTTTTTCTTTACGTATGAATGTATCTACATATAAAGTATGCAGTGACTCCTACATCAGCACAACTTGCTCATTTCCAATTAACTCTAATTGATTCCATAGGCAATCATATATCCTGCAATTGAAGTGCACGCAGATGGTTTCAGAAAATAGAGAGTGTGATCCTTCATATATTGCTATCAGATCTAGAAAACATTGTTTTATTTTATGTTGCAGATTTTAAAATATTTTAAGATATTGTTAAAAACATTTCATACTTTTAAATTTTGCTTAATTATATCATTAACTATAAATACTAATATATAAATAATTGTGCAATTTAAATAAATTTTTTGGATAAAATATCTAAAACACTAAAATATTAAATAAGAAAGAAATATAAGATGCAATTTTGAAATAACAAGTAAAACATTCACAAATTTTATTTATATAAAAATACATAGTTTATATACACACACACATATAATATATGTGTGCATAAACTATGTTTTTTATATAAATACATATGTATATTTTCATATACTATATGTATGTATGTATGTATGTATGTATGTATGCATGTATGTATGGTATGGTATGTATGTATGCATGTATGTTTGTATATATGTATGTATGTATGTATGTATGTACATATATATATATATATATATATATATATATATATATATATATATATATATATATATATATATATATATATATATATATATATATATATATATATATATATATATATATATATATATATATATATATATATATATATATATATAAAAGGTTAGCAAACTAAGCTAAGATCTTAGGATGATGTTTACATTTGATAAGTTCTGCAAAAATAAATGTACTATAAAACCATCATTTAAAGTAATAAATCTCAAAATCACTTTAGTAAATAAATAAATACTTCATAGCATTTACTCTACAAGAGATATGCATACTAAAATACGAAGAACATTCAAGCCTTACACCTACAACTTAAATTTATTATATTATATACTAAATGACTAAATACTTTTCTAACTAAAAATGCATCATATTTTCATTTCTGGAAATTATTCTGATACACCGAAGCGCTTGAATTTTGAGAAAAATATTAAATATAAATCCAGAATGATTTAACAACAATAGACAAAACAAACAATACCTTTAAAGCAATAACTTAAGGCCTTCACATTTTATTTATTTGTTGGAAATTACCATTTTTATTTTTAATCCATACTATAGAGCATCACTTGATTCTATAGTATCAACAATAACTTACTATATATATAGTCTTTTTACAATGTTGGACTGCTAGAAATAAGGTTTACGTTCAAAATCTTTTAGTGAACTGATCAAAACTGTATGTTTTGTATTTAAATTGTATGTAAAACTGATTTAGTTTTAGTAAGTAAAATGTAAAACTGATTTAGTTTTAGTAAAAAGATTTTGAAAATTGTATGTAAAACTTTTACATACAATTTTCAAAATCTTTTAGTGAACTGATCAAACTTTTTCTAAAAACAATCAGAAATAATGAAGAAAAATGATAGCAGATGTATTTATTTTATATAGAATTTTACTATTCTGCATGACTATCCTGCATGGATATTATAAACAAATAAATTTAATAATGTATTCTAATCATAGTTATAATTTCTGGGGTAATCTTTATAAATTTGTTTTTAAATTTGTTTTTTTAATATTTACTTGTAGATATCTTAAATATCTTATTTATAAAGATATTGTAATTAAATATTAATAAAAATGTAAATTGTTATAAAAAGTTTTTAAAACGATGAGAAATTCATCGGTCTTATCATACAAAAGCACTAGTGCTTAAGTAGTGCTATTTTAAAATTTATTTATTTTAGGCTACATATTTTAACATGTGAACTTTTTTTCCTTGGCTTTGAAATGATCCATTTTATATATAACATGTTATGTGAGTGCACTTCCATAAATTTAAAATCACTCAAAATTGAACTAAGAATGCACAAGTCTTGTGTCAAGAACCCTACTAAACATAGTCTCGTTCTAAGCAACCCAGGGACCAAATAAAGCTCATGTAATTTTAAAATTAAAAAGAACAGAACAGTTTATATTAAAATGCCTGGTGAACTTTCTTCGCTCTGCAGGTGAAACTTCAGAACTTATTTTTGGGTAGAAACATGATTCCATAGCGTAAAGTTAGGTGACGTAATGTTTATTTTTTGGCGAATAATTAAGTATTTAAGATGCAAAAAGCATTGTTAAATTATTTGTTTTATGCAATGGTTTTATGTGAATATTTAATTATTGGTCATGCGTGGTAAAATGTTTTTATCAAATAGTAACTCAATACAAAATTTGTGAAACATGATTTTATACTATAATACAAATGTTTTTATACAATTTATATTTAAATCATGATATTAGAATATTATTTGTGATCATAATATCAAAGTGAACCGCGATTGTTAAGATATTTTGATAATAAAGAAAACTAAATCATAACATGTTTACTGTAGTTGGTTTGTTTATTAGTCATTTTGTGAGGATGGCTAAGGAATTATTTCTAAAGTTATAACAAGCACACTCTTGAGTTTTATCTTTATTTTTTAATCTTAGTGCTTCTACTATGATAAAAAACTTTATGCAAACAACAACAACAAATAAAAGCAATAGGAGCAACATTTATTTTATAATAACAATGAAATAATAATGAAAATAATAACAATAAAAATACCTATAATATCATAAATAATAAAATCATAATATCATTATATTATCCAGGTTTATACAATTGTAATTGCTATCTCTAAAGCTATGGTGATGGTTTATATTTTAGCCAATTTAAAAATCAACCTGTTATACACAGGGTATATACAAATGAAAATAACATATTGAATTCTGGTGTATTTTTGAAGAACATTTTTTTTTCAAAAAGTATTAAAGTTTTTGTGTGCAAGAAAAGAAAACTAAAGATTTTCAAATTAAAGAAAAATATGCATCATGTTTTCGATAATATTTTTGTGTATCTTTTTACGTAACATGGTTTGATCAATTTTTACAATGTTCCCCATCTAAATTGGCAGGAAAAAAGTTTATAAAAAGTATACAGTTTTATAGCAAGTTAACAAATCTACTTTTAACGAAGCTTAAAATAAAAAGTTTGCAAAATAGTGTATGTATAAATTTATGTTCTGTTGTTGTTCATTTACTTTTTGTTCATAAACAAGTATATGAATTTGGAAATGGAAATTTAGTTCAACGCCAATAGCAATTGTGATAAAGTAATTTAAGATCATTTAAAGTTTAGTCAAGCAAGCACCTGAAAATGGTCAACTTTTTGTTTAATATAGATTGCTGTTCCAAATACAAATTGCAGATATGATCCAATACTTTATGTCAAGCAAGGTTCAAATTTTAAACCAAACAAACTTACTATCTGTTGATCTTCTACTTTGTTTTGAAGTTATGAGTTCAGATAGATATGTAAAACATTTAGTTTACAATTTTTTTATGGCTTTTAAGCTCAAACTAGTAACCAATGATGTGATTTAAAAGTTTTATTTTTACAAATTTTAATTTGAAAGGAGAACAACATACATTATTAAATAAGCTATAATTTGAATGCATGTATTTAAATATAGGGAAGATCAATCACCCCTTTATATGTATATATAAATATATATATATATATATATATATATATATATATATATATATTTTTATATGTAAGTTTGTTATTTATATGTAAGTCTGTACAAAGATATAATTTTATATAGCTTTATATTTTATTAAAAGTATGTTTTAATTATATTTTAATATGTTTTAATTTATGTTTGTTTTTTTTTTTTTTTTTTTTTTTTTTTTTTTTTCCGACACAAAAGATGTTTTGTTCAAAGCAGATCAGCCAACCATATAAAGGACAGATAAAACTGACCCTCATCTCAGGCTTAAGGGTCAATTAATGCAATTTATCAAAAGCTTCTTTTGAAGTATGCAACCCTGATGTCTTGATGGGCACAATCACATGGAAGTAATGTAATATTAAATTAAATATTAAAGCATAAAATTTGCATTTACTTTACTTTGCTTTAACATCAAGTAATAATAAAAGTCCCAAACCATATTCAATTAAAAATAGGTTTTTAACTTGTAAGTGAATCAAATTAAATTAAACATTTTATTTTTGTTTTTTTAGATGTTACATATAGTGTAATACAAAAGGGATAAAATAATATCAAACAAAGTTGCTTGGTAGGGTATACTGGATCCATCCACTACTTCTAAAAAATCCTTAAAAACCACTATATAAAATAAAAAACAAGAGAATAGTAAAAGAATTCCTTTTATTTACATATTTAAGCAAACTGTTGATATAAAATTTTAACAAAAAAACATTTTAATATTTTTTTATAAAACAAAATAGGGGTAATTTCAACACGTTTTCATAAAAAATTTGAACGTACTTGAACGTTTTGTGTTAGCAGGGAGGTCATACATAACATTCAGATCGCAAACTTTAGGGTCATCCACATTTACCCCACACATTGTGCATAAAATTGGTTTGTTTGCAGCATCACTCATTGTTGTTTTTTTCATGTCTTTTCCCTTCTCTTTACCTGAAATGAAGACAATTTTCGGCTTGGTTTTAGCCTAATTTTCTTTAGTGAACCTAGCAATGCATTTATCTGAAGTGAGGCTTTCACCACACTGTTTTTTTATGGCCTTTCTTCTCGTCTCCATTTGCCGTTTCCCTAGTTTTTCATGAAAAGGTGTGAGATTTGACCCATGACTAAAATTGTCTTACTTGGTTGAAATTATGAATAATTATATATCTAATACCATATACATACAATCAAAAACATGAGCTAAAAGTGGTTCAAGTTTTTTTAGTTTATCTGTATTGCTCCATATCTTTTTAGAGGGTGGAATTTCCCCGGGGATAGAATTACCCTAGTCTAGCCTACAATTGTTTGAAATAAGTTTATATTATTTGCGTATTTAATTGCGACATTATTTTTGCCAATGCATTGTTTAATTTGATAAAGTTAGTACATTAACTATTTCTATTTGGTATCATGTTACTAACACAATTCAACTTTTTATCGTATTCCATAAATTTTTTTTTTTAATATTGAAAGTAGCTTATAATTTTCAAAACTTTTAAATCATTTGCTAACATCTTTTAAAGAAATCTTTGTTGCAAGCCTTAACATTTTAATAAGGTACAAAGTAGGCGCTTTTTATCCCTTAACTTAAATGGAACTAAGTTTCCGATTTTGGCAAACTGGTTAATAATACTGATTCATGGTGCAAATAAACCAGGTATATTTATATATTAGTGGTTAGAGAGCTTGCTTTATAAGCCGGGGATCTGGGTTTGAAATGAGCCTTTAATATATTTCGCGTCACAGTAAGGAAGGGCGCGTGAACTTCCTGGTTAAATCCATTTCCGGGTGCTCTGTGACAAGACCGTTAGGACTTCTTGGGGCACATAAATAACAAAATTTGATTGCGATTCAATAAATATTTTAAATTTTGATTGCGTACATGCCACTAGCTGAACTAAAATTAATGTCATTGTTGTTTTACATAGCCCATAGATTAGTAAAAAAATTTTTAAAACGTCCATAAATTCAAATAAATGTCATTAAGTAAAATTTAATGAGGTTCGTAGTCAGCTAAAGTTTGAAGTTGGCTGGCCGTATATATACTACTTACTTCCTTTTTAGCTTAAGTCCTCTACGTCTTTTTAATATTTCACTACAGATCTCTCGTATAAACTATATATTCAGTCCATGGGAAAGTCACTAGTAATACCTACTATGACCGGACCCGGGTCTTGTTAAGTCTTTTCAACATAGACCATTCCTAAATTATTTGTTTGGCCTGTTTATTTCATTAATTTTTAGTAAACGGTCATTAGCTATCATTTACTAAAAATTCCTTTTGTTACTCAAAATTTAATTTCCTAAATATTTTAACACAAGTAAAGAGGTTCCTCCCCTCTTTTTGCTTTAATGGTGGCCTGGTGAGTAGGGTTTTTTTTATTAAGAGTAATCAAGTTTTTCTTTAACTAAAATAATAAAAATGTAAAACACTGATTTACATTTTTATTTACAAACAATTATTCTTTCCTCAAAAGTGTTGCAAATGTAGACTAAGCTAACTAATTAGTTAAATATGTAAATAGAACATAAGTAAATCAATATTTGACAAATGCGCAAAACTACAGTATTCTCCATGTTTTTAAAAGTTTTTAGTTACGACCCCCCCTTTACAAAGATCCCCTAAGATACGTACAACAAATTATTAGGCATAAAATTAAAAAAAAAAAACTGAACTAATTGCATATATTTATATCTTTTTACCTAACAAAAACTTACAAAAGGAAATCAGGTTTTTTTTATAAATCTTATAAATGTGTCATAACGTAAATCTAAAATAAAAAGTAATGGAATTACATCATAATTACAAAAAAAACACCAAATTTCAAAATAAGTAACTATAAATTGGTAAATCGATTTCATAAAAATTGAAAATCGATTTATCTATTTATAGTTACTTTAATTGCAGTTAATATAAACTTTTATCAAAAATATAACTATAAAATCTGTTTTGAAGTACAAAAGGATTAACAAAAAAAAAATCAAACTAAGATTTAAATTGCACTTTTAGCAAAATGTTGTCTTTGTTTTTAGTAAATAAATAAAAGCAGTAAATTCCAATAATGAAACTACCTATGATTTATTTTTAACAATAGACGCCAACGGGAAGGTAAGCCAAGCTGTCTATCAACACAAAACATCACAACAGTAACATTACAGCAATAACACAGCAATAAAATCCAGTGAAAATAACAAACTAAATTAAAATATGAAAGGCAAAATTAAAAAAATATTTTAGAGTTATATTTATCTTTTTATTAAACTTTAAATAAGGTATATTTGTTTTTATATTCAACATTAGTTATTCAATTATTTCAAATTTAGGACGTTAAAGCACGCTAGATTTAAAGATTTAGGTTGCATACTCTCTCATACGCATTACGCTAAACATTAACAGACATTATTATGTGTTTTCAGAATAATTTAAAAAGGCTAGACAACACAACCTAGCTCTAAAGCAGTAACACTGCCTAGCATTAAATGCTGCTAAGTCACACCTCTGCTATAAGTACACCTCTTGGCTGGCAAGGTTATCAAACTTGCTCAACATAATACCAAGCCACACCACTTTGAAAACATAGAAACAACTCAATATAAACATATATACAGCTATAAATAAATATGACTTTATATAAGACATATAAGCACATTTTATATTAAATGACAGATATATTTATCAAAAACTATGGAAAAAAAATAATAATAATAAATAAAGTTACACATGCTCACAACCTTTAACAGTAAATTATCGAAATAAAAATCTAAAGATAATTAATTAAGAACAATAGAAAGTATAACACTATTTGTGTTCACTTTTTACCTTGATAGGATGTTTAACAATTGTGAAAAACAAACTATTAAATGCTGTAGTTTTTGAACATGCAACATATAGTTGGCTATGAGAGAAACACGATTTTTGAGATATATCTTTTGTCTATAAGTTTAATTTCGCATTATGTAATATATGGACAATCCCTAAAGTAAAATACTTGAAACTTGAAATTTGAAATGCTGATTGGCCCAAGAAGCAGACCTGTAAAACATTTTAAAGATATTTGACCTGCAAAATATATCAAAGATATTTCAAAAATAAATATTTATCCTTAAATTTTTCTGGTTTCTTACAATATTATAAATTATATTTACTCTACTCCAGTCTTCAATAGTCATATTCTGGTGTTTTCTAGCCCATTCCAGTCGCTTTTTTTTCATGGCTTCAGTTAAACATTCTTTTTTTGGTTGGACGATAGCACACTAAATTCTCTTCAACCAACCGTCCCTGAACCGTCCTTTTAGAGATGTTAATTCCTTCATTGTTTATAATTATAGCTAGTTGAGCCACACTTTTTTTTCTGTATTCAAGACAGATGTCTTTAAATTTACAGTCATAACGTGGAGTAGTGATCCTTTACTGCCACTTTGGCTGACATGGTCTGGTTCTAGAGTCACATTTGTACCATTTTTTTTTTTAAATTCGACTCATTACTGACTTTGAAACGCTTGCAACCTCTCTCTGAGAATGTGTAGAATGAAGTAAGGTTTTTACTTTTCTGTTTTTTTTTTGGGGTCTGGAGACTAAAAAAATTAACGAGAGGTAAGAATAGTTGTATGTCAGGGATTTATGCATTAAAAGTAGCAAAAATACTAAATTAATAACTAAACTAATTGAACTATTAACGAATATTTAGGTTTCAATAGTTTTAAACTCAAAAAACTTGCAAAAAAATTGTTCCAAAAATAAGTAACTGAAATCAATTTTGAATTTTTGACTTTCAACCACACTTTTCAAAAATTGACAGCTAATTGAGTAATAACCTAACTTTTGACATATCGGGTTATCACAAATTGCCACAGTTTAAAAACAACTATAGTTATATTAGTGACTAAAATACACTCAAAACTTTTTATTTAAAAAAAATTATTTGCTTGCAAAAACCATTTAAACTTTAAAATTACTTAAAAAGTGAAGTGTCCCAAATAATTTGGCAACCCACTGTATATGGTTTGTAAAAAAATTGGTCTCAACAAAAAGTTTTTAACAAAATGTCTTCTCGACCTTTGATTGTGGCCTCTGTAAGCCTACCCAATACTTGTGGAACGCAGTTCTAATTGATAATATCATGGTTGTTTATAAGTTCAAACATTTTAATGAGATCGCTGTTTTCTCTTCTATTGGATAGATTTTGTGAGCCCATTTCTTTTAACCTTTGCTCGTAACTTGCTCCCTTTCTTTTGTAGCCAATTTTTGCGGCTTTTTGTTAGACTTTTTTGATAAAATTTATATCTTTATTAAAATATGAATTCCATATTTAAGATGCATATTCCAAGAAGTATTCGAAATTTTTGAAAATATTTTGAAAATTTAGAAAATAACTCAATTAGAAAAAAAATAAATAAATCACTCTACACAGTTTGATCTTGACATCTTATTTAACTGGGAAAAAAAAAGGCTAATCAGTTTTAATAAGGATAAATGTGAAATCATGCAATTTGATCTAAAATAAAGTACACTTTAATATATATAATGCTACAGAAACAGATATCATTTTATTTTACAATAGTACAAGCTTCCTTCTTCCTACTTCCAATGAGATATTTTATTGATTGCTAGTAAAAATGATTGATAGATCAGTTCTCTTTATTGATACACTTAATAGCTTCAGCAGACTGTGAAAATCAGTGGCGAGTTTTAGAGTGGGCATGGGGGTAGTTGCCCCCACCCCCCATTGGGATTAACTATTATAGGTAATTGACTATTATAGGTAATTATACATATATGAACTTGATTATTACACTAAAAAAAAGGTCTGCATTTTTCACTTAAAAGTCACTTTTAAGTGAAAAATGCAGACCTTTTTTTTAAAAAACCATTTTAGCCACCTCCTTGGTGAGTGACAAAACCCACCCCTGGTGAAAATATTGAAGTTTGTATGAACAATATTACATATATTAGGAATAGTACAAGAACATACCGAGTATATAACAAAACCATCAGTAGGAGCAGGCATTTAAATTTAAGGCCTTAAGTAATCTGGATCAAGATACTAAATATGATATACTAAATATACTGAACACAAGAAAATTTATACATATTTTAAACAATATTAAATCTAAAGTTCCTAAACAACAGCAATAAAAATAGCAATTAAGATTTACTACAACCTTATTGTTGTTGGTTTAAATAAATGGAAACATAATAAAAACATAAAAATATAATAAAGAAATGAAAATTAATTTGGATAACTCTTTAATGTTTTTTTCTTTTAAAATCTATTGTTTAACTTTATCTACACAAAAAAGAAAAAAGAAATCTTACATCTCTAGTAAAATGACCAGTATGAGAACTTTTTGAAGGAAAGCAAACTGGAAACACTCTTTCCCTTACTACTTTATTTCTTGACAAAGCATCTTTAATACGGTTTGAGAATTGCACTCTTCTAAATTTAGTATCCTCAGCAATCTAAAACAAAGTTTATTTTTAAAAGAATTAGCATAAATTAATTGGTTATATTTTAAGTTGATGCATGTATGTCTTGAATAGTTAATATAGGACTGACTTAAGTCTCATTTCAATAATATAAATTAAACAAACAAAGAAATAAAACTTTAAAACTTGGGAACTTTTAAACTTTTTAAATTTTTATTTGAAAACTACAGTTAAATTTCTTGGTGATTAAGAAATTTAAATATAGCAAATAGCTTTTTGAAAAACTGTGATCTGATACCTATTAAGAAAATTAGACAAAAGAACAAAAATAAAAGGTTTAGACATATAATCATTAAATACAGCTATTTTAGAAACAAATTGATAAATAAAAACATATTATAATAATAACTGAATTTTATAAAATTCTTTAGAAGAGGCTTTTCTATCATTCCCGTGCATACAATCAAGCACTTTACATCCTAAAACCATAAAGGGAGTACCATTAAATGATATTGAATCATCTTATTTTGTGGTGTTTTGCAGAAGAATCTTTAAAGATAACAACAACAACAAAAATTTTAAATAATAACTATACAAATATAAAAGAAAATTAAAATTTAGCAATTGCATTTTAAAAACACTCAATTAAAATTGTCATACCATATTTCCAGTTTTTTAAAGGAAAGGAAAGAAGGAAGTTGGCTTACTGTAGAAACATACGTTGAAGTACTTTTTTTGATACATAGCTACGAAACAGAGGCTGTATCAAAGTTTTCATAGCATGAAAACTTTGATACACTATAGCATGAATCATGCTATAGTGCCACTAAAGCATGAAAACTTTGATACAGCCTCTGTTTCGTAGCTATGTATCAAAAAAAGTACTTCAACGCATGTTTCTACAGTAACCCAACTTTCTTCTTGAGAAATAACAACTAAAAAAATTTAAACAGTAACAACCATACAAACGTGGAAATTGATACTTCATTTAAAGCGTGCTTGTAGAGGAAATTCCTTTTTAGACAAAATATTTTAAATTATGAATATAAAAAGCTTATATTATATTACTCGTTTAAAAACATTCGGAATGTTTTTAAATTTTTAAATTTCTCAGGGATGTCATTCCTGAGAAATGTTTTTAAACGAGTAGTAAAACAAACATCAACTTAAGCTTTTTATATTCAAAATTTAAAATATTTTGTCTAAAAAAGTTAAAATGCCTTGTATTACCTCTACTCAATGTTGTTTTTTCTAATAAATTTAAACTATTATTATCTATAATAATAATTTTTTTACCAATTTAAATTTAATCTTCGACGATAACCAGGTGAAAACGTGCTCCACATTTAAAGAATATTAATTATTTCATAAATTAAATTATAAATGCAAAAATTAATTATGTTAACTCTGTCCTGGACGTGAAGCGGGACAATTGCGGAACATTTTACGGGACCTAACTTTACGCTATGGAATCATGTACTTACCTTATTTTTGGAGATAAATGTGTACATAAAAATAACTTTTAAAAATCTTCAACATGTATTTTCTATATAAATACAACGGAAATTTCCGTATTTGAAAATTTAGCTACAAATACGGAAAATTTCCGTACATAATCGATAGATACATCCATATATGGACATACGGATATTTTCCGTTGAAATAACGGAATAAATTTCCGTTTTTTTAACGGAAATTTTTAACAGTGTAGAATGGAAAATTGTCAAACGTTGTAAACCTTAAAATCTAGCAACAAAAATATGCCACCTTTGTCTCTACGAAAAATATGTAATTTTATCACATAATGGAAAAAACCTTCTGAATAAAAAAAACGAAATCGTATCTCAGTGTCGACATTCAAAAAAAATTCCTCTTATTTTATTTGACACAGGGGACTAATAAACTATAACGGCTTTTTGTTTTTTGTTTTTTGATTTGTTTTTTACGTAGATTTGTTTATGACGTCAGATGTCATTCTACAGTAATTTTTACGTTTTTGTAACGGTTTGTTTACGTTTTTTGTTTGTATTAACGGCTGATGATTGCCTTCGGGCATGAAACTTTAAGTCCCGCTAATCAGTTGTTTTTATTCATCTAAATATTATATATAGCTCTATTATTCAGTAATATTGAGCACTGTAACACGTACAAGAGACTTCGTATTATTACATCAAAATACTTAACCTCGAATATATACTATATATCGAAATCTACACAAATATATATATATATATACATATATATATATATATATATATATATATATATATATATATATATATATATATATATATATATATATATATATATATATATATATCTGTGGTTTCCGCTTTAGCTATTATCAACATCGGTAAGGAAGGATGCAATTGACATTGGCAAATTTAAGTTTGAATTACTAAAATGAGAATATTTTTTTTGTTGACATTTTTGTTATCATAAATACTTTGTAAAAAAAATATTTTTTATTTTTGAACAAATAAAAAATTTTGCAAAACTTTCTCATTTGTTATAGTCATAAGTATACAGAAGTTTGGAGTTCGCTCAACGTCTGAAAGTTTCTTATTTCACACTCACCAAAAATAACTGTTGGTACCCTTAAGCAAACAAGTTGTCTTCAAAATATTACTGCAACTGTGGCGCAGTGGTTAGAGTTCTGACTCAAAACCAAGAGGTCCAAGGTTCAACGCTGGCTCTAGCCCAATAAGCGATATTGGTAAGGAAGGAGGCTTCCTAGTTAAATGCTCTTCCGCTTTGTGATAAAACCGTGTGAAGCACCTTCGTAACCACACACAAAAAAATAATAGTATTTATTTATTAATCATTAAAAATCTGTTTTAAGATATAAAGTTAGGGACAAAGAAAAAAATTACTAATAAAATAGTAAATTCCTTCTGATGCTGTATAAAAAAAATTTTTTTTATGAGAATGCAACATTATAATGTTGCCTCAAAGTTTTATATTTTGCAAATCAATACAAACTTAGTAATACGATCGTTTGTTTACACAAACGTGAGTGAAATGCTTAAAAGCGTAACGCTTCATTTTAATGTTAACAAGCTTACATTTATATATTTAAAAAAAAAAATGATAAGCGTCGCACTCATTATACTTTTTCTTGCTAAAGTTATTTCCAGAAAATCGAATGATTTTATATCTGTAAACCCTGAAACAAATATGTTTATTGATGGCTATGGGCGAGAAAGATTTTTTCACGGTACCAATGTTGTGGTGAAGCATTTTCCTTTTCATCCTGAAACTACAGGGTTTAACAAAGACACGTTTTCTGAAGATGACATGAAAATTCTACAGAAGTTTGGATTAAACTCAATTCGATTAGGTATAAAATTTATATTTTGATACTAATTGCCTTTATAGACGCGTTTAATACACGCGTTTTATAGACGCGTTTTACAGAAGCGTTTTATAGACGCCTTTAGCTTTTGCCAAATAGGTATGTATGACAACAATTTTATTGTAAACATAAAGTTTAGAAAAAAAGATTTTCTCTACAAGAAATTAAAAAAGAATATAAATTTAATATAAATACTTTAACTATCTACCTCTTCATTACCGTGCTTTTCAATTAAATTTAATGCATAGATAAGCTTTTAGAGTTCAAAAGTAAAAGGTAAAACAAAAACGGCAAAATATTTCATTTTATTTTTAACAAGCTTGAGAATTACAAGTAATAACAGTTGTATGTCAACAGGGTAACGGAGTCCCAAAAAAGACTCCGGATTTGATAGTCAAAAAAAGATTATTTTTTCCCTGTTTTTATTATCTAGCAATTCCAAAAATAAAAATAAACTTAGGGACAACTTAAGGTTAGAGGAATAAAGCCCGGAGTTCTTGTATATAATTGCAACAAGGACTCCGGGACTCTGTACTAAAATATAAAAGGTTCCAAGTTATGAAATTTCATGAGCTTTTTTCTTATTGCAGATCATATGTTTATCAACATTTTTAGAGCTACCAGAGAATACCTGAGATCAGGAAATAAAAGAAATATTTAGTAATTTTTATGAATAACAAACATCACAGTAGTTGTTTGAAACATTTTTCTTAAAAGATTAGATGCTTATATGTTCCGACTCATAGGGGCTCATCAGTTAATTATGTAAACATAATGAAAGACAGGGGGATCTAAATTCTTTTTTAGGAGTGGGGGAGGATGGTAGGGTAATTAAATATTGACGTTATTTTATTTGTGGATTCTCTGGAAGTTTAACAAGTTATTTGCAAGGAGTAGAAGAAGAGGTAAAAATTGACAAAAAATTATTTACATAAATAATAAATAGACCCAATAGTTTAAGGAGTTATTTCATTCCAACTCATAGTTTACCGATTGCTCTTCATGTAATTTACCAAAAACATCAACAAGAATTTTGCCACAATCTGTATAATTTCTATGCCATCACACACATGCACATAACTAGACCAATTCTCCTAAAATAACATTTTTTATTATTTAAAAACTTTTAAATAATAAAAAAAATAATAAATAATAAAAAATTTAAATTTTTTTTTTATTATTTTTTGTTTTTTTATGTATTTGATAATCGTCATTTATTGGAACAAACTGTTTTTAATTTGAATTGAAAGTAACTTGTGAACCATTTTTAAAGTTTATTGTTTATTTCATAGCATTCAAGTTATAAAATCAAAATGTGGTGATCAAACAAATCAAAAGCTTTTGATAGGTCAATAAAAATTTCTAACATATGTTGTAGGGATGTACTAGAATTCTGTTCCGAGTTTTAGGTCATTCCGGTTACGGTTGGAATTCCAATATTTTATACCGGAATGACGGAATTTGTTTTTTACCTTTTTTTTAAGACATGTGACACAGACTGCAAATAATTTTTTACAGTCTGTTCACAGCAATAAATCTCTTTTTTCATCAAAAATGTTACCTGCCTCTCGGAATAGTCTCATTTTAAATTGTATTTAAATTTTAAATAATACAAAAGTATAGGATACCTAATATAACCCAGTCTCAAAAAAAGCTTGTTTACCCCAAAATTTGCCTAAAATTTTTATTGATGACGTTGAAATAAAAAGGCATAATGTAAAAATGTTTTTAGGTGTTTTTCTTAATGAAAACATCACATTGGAAACACATATCGACTATATTGGTACAAAAACTTCTAAAAATATTGAAACTTTATATAAAGCGAGAAGATATTTATGAAAAAAAGTCAACTCAACTTTATTACTCATTAACTCATAATTAAATTATGATAAGCATTTTACTTTTCCCATTTTCAAATATAAACTGAAAAATTTAATTATCTTAATGAATGATCAAGTACTTTTAATTGTAATTTTATATTTTGTTTAGAACTTTTATTGTAAATTACGTTCTGTTGATTATGTTTTGATGTAGTTTTCATACACACGCTTGTAAAAGGTTCTAATGATAAGATTAGTACGATCTTCTTTCACAAACATAAACAAAGTTTCTGAAAGAAACTTTGTTTATGTTTGTGAAAGTAAAATATTTAAAATAACTATAAGTAAAATGAAATAGGTTATATATATATATATATATATATATATATATATATATATATATATATATATATATATATATATATATATATATATATATATATATATATATATATATATGTATATATATATATATATATATATATATATATATATATATATATATATATATATATATATATATATATATATATATATATATATATATATATATATATATATAACAGATTATAAAAGTATTTTATATAGCCACGATGCTGAGGTGCAGGCTTTCACTTTCAATTTTGAAGGTAAAAAATTATATAAATATAATTCTTGTTTCGGTCGGATTTCAGGCTGGAATTTTATTAACAATTCAGACAATTCCGGTTGGAGCCGGATTTCAAAATTTGCAATCCGGTACACCCATATATGTTGTTAGTTTTTTGAATAACTTTGAAATTTCACGTGCCAATAGGATAATCGCATGTTCAGTTAATTTTTTTTTTAGAGTAAACTTTTGAAAATAAAGTAATTTATTTTCATAAAGTATTTGTATACTCTGTTGAATATGATCTTTTCAAAAATTTTTAAAAATGTGGAAAGAACAGAGATCGGGCGATAGTTACTGATAATAAATTTGTCCTCTTCTTTATAGATAGGAGTAATCTTGGCAGCTTTTAATAGTTTGGGGAATCCTTGATGAATAGAAGTTCTAAAATTTTTAAAAAGGACTTCTTTTCTATTTATTTGACCTGCTCCAATTAGTTTATTTTTTAAAGTTTTAAGGGATTTTTCAAACTCTTTAAGCAATAATTCCAATGATAACTCATCTGAACAAATGTATTTATCCATTACTAAAAAATTTGTAAACAAAACTTAGTGTTTGGTTTCTTTTTAGAAAGTGTTGCATCTATATCCGTGAAAGTTTTGTTAAATTCTTGAGCCATAGCTTTTGATTCATATAAACTTATGTTATTAATTTTAATCATCTGTGGAAGAAAATTGGAGAATGGTTTTTGTTTTCCAATAGTTTCTGTCTTTATTTACCAAGTGCGTTTAGTGTCGTTTTTTTGTCGTTCAACATTATCAAAATTCATCTTTAATTACTTTGAAATATATTCTAATTATATATTTGATATTAAAACATATTCAATGCTGATATGTGCTTTAAAACCATTTTTAGGTTTCTTAACGTTTTGAATATTCACTGAGCATTCAAGGTTGCTAAAATATTTATTTGCAAACTTTAAAAAATGGTATGGTAGTTTATCCTCCTCCGGCTAATTGCCATAACGAGGCCCATAACCAAGGCACGCGAAGACAAATTTAGCTCACTAAAGAACATTATGACTTGATTCGATGAACCAAGTGTAAGAATAAAGAATAATAGAGTGAAAGTCAAAAGTCGAGTTAGAAAGATCGAATAGAGAAAGCGGACAGATATTGCACTAGTTGTTAGAATGTGTGATACAAGTCTCTCCATCACCTTTCTATATCGTTTTAATTAATTGGTGTTGTGGCTCCTGCTAATTGCCTTTTAGAAGCCACATACCAAGGCCTGCGAAAACGAGTTAAGCTCACTTAAGGCCGTTTTCCACAAGACGAAATATTCGCGCGAAGCGAATTTTTTCGTCGATAAGCATGCGCAGATAAAACATTTCTAGCAATTATTGCTAATTATTGCGAGAAATGTTTTATCTGCGCATGCTTATCGACGAAAAAATTTGCTTCGCGCGAATATTTCGTCTTGTGGAAAACGGCCTTTAGGAGCATTACATCCCGTTTCACTGACCGTTTCACTTGTTAGTGATTTCAAGAATAACAAAAGATAATAGAATTTAAGTCAGAAAAAGTCTGGCTTAGTTAAAAAGCTAGCATAGAGTGAGCGGATATTAGCACTAGATATACAATTAGCATTTTTAATTAGTTTAACTAATTGACGTATTTGTTTAAACATAATCGACATAAATAAAGCGCTTGTTTGTTTAGTTGTTTTAGACGATTTAGTTTATTGCCCCTACTGAAGTTTGGTGATAATCAGTTAATGAAGACGTAATTTTATTTGATTTGCTTGTGGTTTCGTATTTCAATATTGATGAATGATTTTATTTAAGTATATAACATTGCACTCGCAATGTCGGGTTGTATACATTTGATCAACGTTGATCTACATACATTGCATCAACGTTGTGTTATATAACTTAGGGTATTAAAAAAATTTTTTACATGCATTTTACTAGTTAATAATATTTTTTATATATTATAAATAAAAAATATCGTAAGTATAAAATAATTGCACAGGTTGGTGTCCCACAATTTCGAAAATTCCAAAGAATGTGTAGTGTAAAATCTTTACGGAAAAAAGTTGTATTAAGTAACTGCAGGAGAGATTACTGTGAAACTTGGATGACTTTAATGATTGATAATTTTGCCAGTTAGTTAAAAAAGTATCAGCCTGAAAATGAAATTTTAAAATAGACAACTAACTTTTGTTATTTTTCTGTTATAAAATTATATTCTGCGTATATTTTTTAAGTTATAACTCGTGCAAATGTGTTGGGAATAACCTGACTCAAACAACAAAAGTAACGACTTTTATATGTCCGCAAAAAATGCCAAATATCTTATGGTTTTAATTTTTCGGAGAAGTTGTTATATAAAAATCCAAATTTAGATGTTCAAGTGGTATATTCCAGTTATAATTTCAATGAAATGTACCACTCGTATTGGCTACTTTCAATCATATTGGCATAAAAATTCAAACAATTTTGTTTTTTACCTTTTCAAAGAATTTTCAGTAATTGATATTTCAATCCTATTGTGATGTTTTTTAATACTTTGAATGCCAAATGCCTTGTTGGATATCTTAACGAAAAAAATGTCAATCTTTAAGGCATCAAAATGGTATACCATATGGTACTCTTTGCAACATATCATATGGTACTCTGTACAACATATCATATTTAACATATCATATGGTACTCTGTACAACATATCATATGGTACTCTGTACAACATATCATATGGTACTCTGTACAACATATCATATGGTACTCTGTACAACATATCATATGGTACTCTGTACAACATACTATATGGTACCCTGTACAAAACATATCATATAATACCCTGTACAACATATCATATGGTATTCTGTACAATAGGAGTGAGCAAAGACATAAAATAACCCGGAGAGCAGATCAGATTATAGCCGCATACCAAAGAAAAGATTTTACAAGTTCTCAGCATCCTGACAGATTGTAATATACTTTTGGATGGTATGAAAACTCGTCTGCTAATAAGACTAAGACTATCTAGACAGAACAGGTGTCATTGATTTAAAGTTTAAAAACAACTTTCCTGACCCTGATTGGATGAAATCTTTTATTATTTGCAATAATCTAGCTTCTTGACTTGCTGACAACGTAAAACTAGCAAGAGCTGAAATTGATTGAAATTGAGTTTGTTTATATGATAATGAATTATTCATTACACTACTCATATATTTAAATATAATGGGACAAATGTGAGCAATAACCCAGGCTCTAAAACAATAATTTTTAAATGTGGCCTTAAACGTGTAGAAAGAAAAATGCAACATTTCAAAGACTCTGTAAGTATTATGTGCTGTAGGAGTATAGCTCGTCAGTTTCTTTCTTCCATGGTTATTTATAAAGCTGCAAACTGTTGCATAGAGTAGACTTGTGGCGGCCCTCTTGGAAGAATATTCAACAGTTTAAAATCTGGTTAGTTAGAACATTTGTTGGTTCACAGAAATTTTTATTCCTAAAACAGCATCTCTCACAGGAACAAAGGTTTTTATCGGAGATAATTTAGCTTTACATTTTTCACCGAAAATGTAAAGCTAAATTATAGCTAAATGTCATGAAAGCATGCTCTGAAAATAATATCCACTTTACATCTCATGAAACTGCTTGATATTGGTGTTTTCAAATTGTAGAAAATTGAGTGAAAAAGATTTTACAAACATGGCGAAGAAAATTAAAAATCAAGGGTTCAATTCTAAAAAAACATTTTCAAACACTCTTGATAAAGTTTCAGAAAACTCTGAAAGCAGAGAACATAACAGCTGGACTAGAAGCTTCAGGCATATTCATGAATTGAGAAAAAATATTAAAACGGCCTCCGGATGTCAACAAAGATAATGGCATAGAAACTGTAAAATAAATATTCAAGGAAGGTATCATAGATATTCTTAAGAAGTACCCAAAATACTTAATAGGATGTTCCTAAAAAAGTTAAATGATCCAAAAATCTGTTAAAATATCAAATTTCAGAAGACATTATTTTTGCTGCACCTTTCTCAAACATAGTGCAACATCTTTAACCACCGAAGACAAACAATAGATACCAGCAACAGTTTGAAAATGTGAAAAATGTTGATAAAATATACTAAGTGTATCAGATATCAACAGATAGAACATTACTATCTAGTATTTCAAACGTTGGTTTTTATATTATATACATATACATATACAAACGTTGGTTTTATATTATATACATATACATATACAAACGTTGGTTTTTATATTATATACATATGTATGCATATATGCGGTAGTAGTGTAGTGGTAAAACACTCATTTCATAAGCGAGAGGTTCCGAGTTCAATCCTCACCACGTCCCTGGTAGTACCGCGCTCAACTTCTTTCTCCGCGCAGCGGCCTTGTTCGTCAAGGTTCGTGTTTCGGAGTTATAGAGTTGAGAGAGGGTTATAACCACTATTAAGTAGCCTCCTCATCTGTAGCGGCCTTCTCGGCCTTGAGGAGGTAAATATTTAAAAAAAAAAAAAATTTATTATAATATATTATATTGCTATGTTTAGCATATTAACATTATATATATATTTTTTCCCATTTTGTGGATGTATTTGATAAATAAACTTGTTTTCTAAATTGATAGTTTTATCAGTAAAATGTTATAAATTCGCTTGTATATTGTGTCCTAATTTAGTAAAACTTCAAAAAAGTATTAATGACGCTTGTGAAAAGGGTTAAATTAATAAGCCACAAGGAATTAATAGATTATCAAAGTGACCCCAACAAAGGGATCAGATTGATAACATTTTGTACTTAAAAAGAAAACTAGTACAAACAAAAAAAGGAAAAAAAAAACTTGATGAAATCCTATAAAAGAAACGTATAATTTTATATCGGACCACACAAATCAGTAAGAAATATTATAACAAAGAGTTTTTTTTGCAAAAATGCTTAAAAACCTATCAAATTTTACAGTACTTTATAGCAATTATGTAAAGTTACTTTTATATATTTTCGGTTTTACGTTAAAACTTTCATTCATTGTTTAATAATCCAACCGTTATAATTGATTTATGAAAAAGTTACAACTTGAATTACATATTTATCTGTAATTATTGTTTATGACTCTCTCATATTTATCTGTAGTTATCGTTTATAGCTCTTTTAGTGCGAAAAGTTATTGTTTTTGCAATAAAGTTAGATTTAAACTACACATTATTCTGTAAAGAATAATTTAGGTTGTTCTTTTTAAACTTTTGAAATGATCGATTATATCAAGTGTGAATGAATGTATCAAATAAATATGTGAATAAATGTGCGAATATCAAATAAAAAATAAATTATTAAATATATAATTCTGAAATTAATTCATTAACTCATTTTAGGAATGATGCTACCTGGATATGTGCCAAAAAGAGGGGAATATAATGAAACTTATATAAAAGTTATACAAAGTATTGTCACTACAGCTGCAAAGTATGGTATTTACACACTGTTAGACATGCATCAAGATGTTTTTTCACCAAAATTTTGTGTAGAAGGCATGCCTGATTGGATAGTTAACACACGTGAGATTCTTTGTTTAAGTTTTTTTAAAAATGGTTTTAATTTAGAGGTCCAAGGGAAAAAGAGTCACATTTTTTTGTTACGAAATACTCTATTTTTTATTTTTCATAATTGTTTTTAATAATAGTTTGATTATAAAGTTAAAAATTTATTTATTTTTTATTAAGATAATATAATGAAATTTTTATTAAGATTTAAAAAATAAAAGTTTGATCCAATGATACTTGAAATAGGTTAAAAATGATATTCTCATCTAATCAGAACATCATAATAAAAACATTTTGTTTTTTAGTGAATACTTAGGTTATGTAAAAAATTGTATACAGGTTGTCGGAAAATTAAGCGAATACTTGCCGGTTTTAAAAATGGTATAAATTTATTACACGTAAAAAAAAAACTCAAAAATGTTTGAACCCTTCTATGATAAATTAAGAATTTTAGATGTTTCTAGAAATACTCAGCACTAAAGTTTTAATCTGCAAACTACAGCAATAGGAAACCTATCTTCCCTATATATATATATATATATATATATATATATATATATATATATATATATATATATATATATATATATATATATATATATATATATATATATATATATATATATATATATATATATATATATATATATATATATATATATATATATATATATGTATATATATATATGTATATATATATATATATATATATATATATATATATATATATATATTTATATATATATAAATATATATATATATATATATATATATATATATATATATATATATATATATATTTATATATATAAAAGAAAAACTAAATTTCTAATAATCTGTTTTCTTTCGTAATAACCAATTAAGTTTTTATATAAATTATATATTTTTTTAGTTTTTAATATGGATTATTGTTTAATGAGCCAAACTTAGAGTAGATAAACTTTAGATAATAATTAATTATGATCTTTTTTTTCCTTTTATATGCAAGAACCTCTTTATATTTTGGACCTAGGGCTTTGGCCCAAAAAGCCCTTTAGTAAATCCGTCGCTCTGTTCATTTAGGAGGTTTGCAATTTTAAGCACAGTGTCAACATAATTTTTATTATACCATTTAATAGCCAGTTTATTTTAATGAAGTAAAGCTGATCGGTACACAGACCAGAACTCTGTTATAATATCACTTGAGATAAACTTTTTTTTTGAAATTGTAAACAAAATACACAACTAATGATGTTTAACATAAACAATAAGATTCTTTTTTTTTTTGCTAATTCGTGTAAACGCATTGTTAGAATGTTTTATTAATTGTTAATTACTTTTGGTTTTTTATAAAAATTTTATCTTTGCTGATTCTGAACATCTATTCAATTTATCTCGTTTGAATTTTACGTATTTCAGATTTCTCTTGGGTTTTAATTGTTTAGTCTAGTTCAAGCAACGTAGAATTTCTTCATCGCGTTTAATAGAACTTTCTATGAAACACAATAATTTAAAAAAATGTGAAAATGTAATTTTGCTGTTGCTTTTTGTTGCTGTTGTTTTAGTTGTCCTAATTTTTTGTCGCTGTTTTTTAATTTTGTTTAGAAATTTAACAACAAACATGTTTATATTTTTAAGAAGGAGCAAAAGATTTTCCAATGCCAATTCATAAACCGTTCAATTTGGATCCTAAAACAGGATATCCATACCCTGAGGATTGCGCCAAGTTTTCATGGGCAGACTATTATTTTACTGAAGCAGCTGGACAAGCTTTTCAAAATCTTTACGACAATGTTGATGGATTGCGTGACGAATGGGCACAATTTTGGAAAAAAACTGCTGATGTTTTTAAAGAAGAATCTAGTGTTATTGGATATGAACTCATAAACGAACCGTTTTGTGGCAATGTATTTAAGTAAGTAAAATTGTAAATTATATAACTACAACAAAAATGACGACAAAAATGACGACAAAATTTTGACGTAAAAAAACTGCTACAACATTAAAAAAATTTTCTTTACATATTAATTTGCAATCAATATTTTAAAGACACCCGACATTGCTGATTCCCGGTGTTGCCGATTATCTCAACCTACAACCAACATATGACGCATTACAAAAAGCTATACGTCAAGTTGATAATGAACATAACATATTTTTTGAAGGAGTTACATGGGACTTTTTTGAAGTTGGTTTTACTGAAGTTCCTGGCGGCAAACAGTATCAAAATCGGAGCGTTCTTAGTTATCATTATTATGAGCCGCCAGACTTTTCTAAAAAACTAAACTTTGAAGCTCGTTTGCTTGATCTTAAACGATTGAAATGTGGTGGATTTCTTACTGAAATGTTTACAGTTGGAACAGATTTTAACAGCATGTTTGAAATGTTTGATTTATGCGATAAATTCAAGCAAAGTTGGCATGGATGGATGTATAAATCGTACGGGTGTATAGAGCAAAACCTGGGTTGTTTGAATATGTCTTCTCCAGGTAAAGAATCTATTCAAATTGCGAACACTTCAAGAACGTATCCACAGGCGGTGGCTGGGCGTACGCAATCCTACACATTTGACATAAAGACTAAAGTATTCACATTGGTATACGAAACTGTTGGCAGTTGCAAAAGTGGTAGAACCATTGTTTACTTTAACAAAAATCTTCATTATCCTAACGGATATCGCTATGAGATAAATCCAAATTTCAAAGTAACCCCCAGTGAAAATGAATACCTTCTTTATTTAGATGAAGTTAATAAAGTACCAAACACCGTTGTGACATTTAAACTTTTTCCACTCAGCTTTACTGATAGTGAAGAAATTCATCTAGTAACGGTGATGGGTGATAAACATCTATCAGAAACTCATAATGAAAATGAAAAAAAATAAAGAGTGAAAATTATATTGGAAAAAAATAATTCGACTTTAAACACATTTTAAAAATTACTTATTATAAAAACCTTTTTTAAATATTTTTTAATGTAAAATTTTAAAAATCAATGTAGTTAATATAAGTTTTAAATAACATTTATGTTATATTATTTATAAATTGTAACATTTAAAGCACAGGTCAGCAAAATAATTTTTTTTTTTTTGGTTTTTAAGATATCAGGTATGATTTTGTATAATTTGGTGTGCTGAATTTGAGAATAACATTTTATGAACCAGATCTAGTTTTCTTGCTACGCTTATTCTACCTAGGCACGGATACTCCGACTGGTACGGTTATTCCGATAGGTACAGATATTTTTAGAGGTATTGATATTCTGAGGGCAATAACTTAATATTATAATTACAGAATTCATTTAGTTGTAATTAATATTTTAAAATCTTTTTTTAACAACAAACTGACTACAATGTTCAAATTGTTAATAGCTTGATAAAAATTCATTAGTGTTTAAAGTATTTATTATTATCTCATCTCATATTCCTTGATATCTAAAATTTAATTCTATTAAATGAGCAATTTTTCATTATTACTTTTTAAAATGCTTTTTGAAATTAGTTTTTGAAAAAAGTTTTTTTGCACTTCTCTAGCGTGATTTTGATGTCTTGATGAAAACGTTTTTTGGACAATGAAACTTTTAGTAAACTTTCACCGAACTTTTTATATTCGTAACAAATTATGCATTACACTTTTTGTGATATATTACTTGTTTTATATTTAATATAAGACAAGTAGTATATTAAAAAAAATAATATTTTAAAGCCAAATAACGCACATTTCAATTCCATTTTTAAAACACATTTTATGAACTTTTAACATACTTGCAACACTTTATTTCGATACCTAAAACCATCGCAAAAACTTATAATAACGTTGCACCCGTGGCACAGTGGCTAGAGTTCTGGCTTAGAACAAAGAGGTCCGAGGTTCGACACTGACATCGTAATGACTTCTGGGAGCACATTAATAAACACACACACACATACGCATACACACACACACACACACACACACACACACACACACACACAAAACATTTTAATCTTTGGATGACCAAAAATTAAAATGCTAACTTTGACGAGCGAATAGTCAATGTACTAAATAGCTATGAAGAATTTTTGTATTTGTGCATTGACTGAATTACAGAAAGTTTGGCCAGGTAGTCTTGCAAATAAAAGGATGATTTTTCTTGCTTGCGGACTTGGAGAACGCGAATTACACTCTTAATTACAGAATTATACGTTGACATGTTTAAGTTGCATAACTTTGAAATAAGTTTAAGTTAATAATTTAAAACTTTCTAAACTTAAAATAATAAACTAATTTTAAATATTTTAAAAGTATGGTCTAATAGAATTTTTTATTATGAAAGTGATGGTTATGCTTTTGTTTGATTATGTAGTAAAATAAGTTGTTTGAGAAGGTTAAAAAAATATAATTTTCCGCTGAAGTCGGACACTAAATAGTAAAATAACAATTACCTTTGTGTTTTCTTCCTTAATTATTGTGATTAACAATTTACAAAATAACAATCGTAATTTCTATTTTCGTTTTAAATTCAGTATAAATATTTTTATTATAAAATTATTATAAAAACCAATTCTCTCTGTTAATCTTCCAACCGACGAATAGAAATCCAACCGACAAATAGAAAAATAAAAGTTAATCAGTATGGAAGCGGAAAAAGATAAATCCGTATGGAAGCAAAAGAAAGTAAATCACTATGGAAGCAGAAGGCCAACAGTTTTTCAGTTACAACTGATAAGTTAAAACTGATTCATTCAATTTAATAATTTAGTGATTAGGGTTATAGTTTGATTAGGGTTAAATTTCTCATATATGATGTTAGAGTAAAAAAATTAAAGTCTCTCATATATAATGGTAAAGTAGAAAAAATAAACAAAAGAAAAGAAAAGTAAAAAAACTTACTTGAAAAATTCTTTGTAAGTGCCATGCATTTTAGTGAAGCTACACCAAGCATTAAACCGAGCATTAAACCCAGTACCAAACAATAGGAATAATAAAGAATGTGATTGAGATAAAAGGAAGTCACGTTTATAAAATAGTTATGTATGAATGAGTGTCTCACGGAACACTATGAACATTATGATAGGGTTGAAATATTCATTTTAAGACTCAGAACCACTTTAAAATGACCACAAATGGTCTCTATGGAAACTAGCACCAGTCCATAGCAACAAAACTTTACTTTTTTAAAATCTAATAATTTATATACCAATCGAAAGCTTAATAAAAATATTTATTAAGTTTCTAATATAGTTAATCTATTTGTGTCATAAGAACATGTAAGTATAGTTCAAAGATTTGGTACATAAGTACAACGCTTTAATCCCCTGACTTGTATGTTTTTAAAGCCCTGCTACTCGTTGTCAATTTATTTTCAACATATAATATCGTAACATTTTTTGATGCATTTTTGATGAGCTTTTGATTGACGCATAAATGTCAAGGGTTTTTTTGGAAAAAAAAATTGTCGTTATGAACAAGATCCAGTTACCATGGAGACAGATGGAGCTATTTTGTAAGTGCGTCTGTGTCTTAAATTGACTATTTCAATATTATCAATATGTACCAAAAATAGTAAAAAAAAAACATATACATTTGTCACCAATTGACTGCACTAAAACAACAGTTCGCTTTGGACAATCTCATTTATGTTTTGTAAAGTTCTAACGATTGCAACACTGTAGTTTCCTCGGATATTAATTTTGAACCATGGTGTTCTCAAATTAATATCTAATAAACTGTAATTAAATATATTTATTTTTTTTAAATCAAGAAAAAAAATAGTAAAAAATTAAAATGTCTTCTAAAATAAGCATCTGCTCAAAAATGGCATCAAAATCCCGATATACTGAGGAGGATATTGGCCGTGCAATAAAAGACTTTAAGAGGTAAATTTAAAATTTATAACGTTCTTTTAGTTAATTAATTCTATAATCAGTTTTTACTGTAGGGAACTAAAGGTTGCTTAAAATAATTAACTAAATAAATATGCATGACACCTATTAATTACATCATGCGGTCATACAAGCTATTTACAATACATTAATATACATCTTTCAGTAAAAGGAAGTTTACTTCAGATGACAAATTTTAAAACATTCCTCAAATTACTCTGCTTGATAAAATAAGTGGCAAAGCCCCGATCGCCAAAAATATAGGTCTGAACATATTTTCGACTGGTGCAGAGGAACAGGCGATGGTAAGTTATATATTAATTGCCAAAAAGCGTGCTCTGCTTGTAACAAAAGATGCCATTTTAACTTCTTGTTTCTTTATATCTGATGAAAAGAATCTCCTTGAGATAAACAGAAACCTTTTATATTAGGTGAGTTGAGACTTTAGTGCCTGGGGGAGAGTGATTAGTTATTAAGTACTATTGAGTTAAAAAATACAATTTTAATTATCATTTATTTTCTTGAAATTTGTTTCAGTTTCTAGTTTTGAACATTAATCTAGTATATATTATTATTTACATATATGTGCACCTATCTTTAAGCTATAACTTCTACTTTTTTATTTTATTTCATTAGGTATTAAGTCTTCACCCAAATATAATCGCGCGCATCAGCGAATCTTTGAGTGCAACAAAAATGTTTGCAGACATAAGTGCGTACTCGACAGAAAATGATGTTCTTGACAAAGAAAAAGATGCGAGCAGGAATTTTAACATAGATAAATCATTGTTTGAACTTTCAACAAGAATCACGAGGGTTCTAGCAGAAAAAGGATCTAAAAATGTTCATTGTGCAACATCAACAAATGCTAAAAAACGTGTTACAGAGCTTGGTAAGTTTAACCTCCCTATTTACTTCTTTTTATTTTTTTCTTTTATTATGTTTATAGTCAAGCTTAATGTTATATAGCCTATGTCTAATAAATCTTCGCTATGCCTAATGATTTTATCAAATTAAAAAATTAAACTTGGAAATTAAACTTCATTCAGCTTGATGTTTATTTAAAAGTTTGGATTACATCAAGATCTAATTCTTTTTTTTCTTTTCAGCAAACATCGGTGCTGACGGGTCTCTCTCTACGCCTTTAATTGTTTATTCAAACGTAAGATTTCCAATAAATGTGTGCGAGGCATTGCTAAAATCGCTTGCTATCGGGAAAAATTAACTGCTAAAATCGCTGCTATCGGGAAAAATTAACAATAAACTTTATATAAATACCTAGCTAAATCTTTTTAAAGATGGCTTATTGGCAACAAAATACCAAGACCATTTATTGTCTGGTCAGAAAAACATGAATAAAGAATGAATTATCATCTTGTAAAACATCTGGCCAAACTTTCTTCCTTCAAATACTACTCATTGCCTTCGACTTTTCAATATTGGGGTGTTTGCCCCATTAAAAGAAGTATAGGACTTGTGTGTTAAAGAATACAAAGCAAAGAACAATAATAAGTACATTACTAAAGAAACATTTGATCAAGTTTTCATTCCTCTTTATCGTTTTGTAATGAGCAAAGACATATTCAAAAACTCATTTAGAAAATGTGGCATTTATCCATTTAACCCAGAAGCCCCAGATTACATTTAACTAACAAAATAGGTTTATCATTCAAGTGAGGCGTTTTTGTTTGAAATTATTTTGTTTAAGTTATTTTGTTTTTTATTTATTTTAAGATGGAACAAAGCACTTACGTGCTTTGTTCCAACTTAAAATCTTGCAAATTTGTACATATCTTTTACAGATGTTCATTTGGATGTAATGACTCGATCATTGAGTGTTCTCGTTAAGAATCGCTCCGTTTTTCGACTAGGAACAAATGGTTTAACTATTTACAAAGGAGAAATGCAGAATATTAACAAGCCATGTAGAGGAAAGAAGCCATATAAAGAAAAGAAACCATGTTAAAGGTAACAATTATATTTCCGTTAAATTCTATTAAAATAGCATAACCTATATTAAGTTGCGTGTTTTCTGTAAATATTTCCACAGAAACTCCCATTTAATATTGCTTCCTTGCATATTCTTTTTTTTATTTTATCCTAGGGGCGCAATCGAGGGATATTTCTTATTTCCTCCTTCCTTAATTCCATCAGCATTGCTTTTTAAACGAACAGCTATAAGCAAAGCCTTATTGCATCATAGATAGTTTTCCTCACCAAAGAAGACTGTTCCTAAAGTTAGGACAGCTGCTCGAAAACTCCATGCAACATCTGTCTTGACAACGCCTCAAGTAGTTTCCATGTTTAGAAATATCTAACAAAAAAAGAAAAATTTTTTCTGCCAAAGAAATTTGAAAACAAGTACGATTGGCAACTCCAGAAAATATGAAAAACACCTACGGCAGGTGTTAAAAGAAATTTAAACCGTGGTGCTAAAAAAACCACAAAAACAAAGCAAAAGAATAATGTATCTAACTTAATTGAAATTGTATATTTTTATCTTACGCTGCAAAGTATAAAAATATAAGAGTTGAAGTAAATTAATTATAGGCGGATATAACTACATCAACAATACATATATCAACAAATTTCTGTATTAGACTAACATTAGCAGGTACTTTTAATAGAGGTTGAAGTTCATTTATTTTACCATAATATTTAAGATAACAATTTTTTTAGTGCTGTGATATCTCTGATATATCTAATCATAAATCATCACCATCATCAGCTTTTAGTACTGATTAATTTAAATCTGTAATAATTAAAATGTAGTGTAGTTATGTAAACTTCTAAACAACTTCTTATTTAAAATTAATTAGAGTTCGAACTATTCTAATTACATTTATTGACAAAAGAGGTTTTGTAATTATTATTTGTTATTATTATTTTTAAATTAAAAGAGTTTAATTCAAAATCGTTCAAATTATTCGAGTCCATTTTTATTTTTAGATTATACATATTTATTTTTATTTTATAAATATTTAGCATATTTACCTTTTTGCCTTAGTTCTTTTTTTAAAAAACTTTTTTCTAACTCGCTCGTCCGTTCGCAAAAACCTTCGTTTATAAAAAACTTTTGATTTCAAAGTTTCATTTTTATGTATTTGTCAGGGATAGCTGATTTATTTTTAAAATTTAAAAATGTCACGATGGTTCTGATTTCATTATTAATTTTTTCTTTTTTTATACTTGATGTGCAATAATTGTTTTTGACTTTTACTCAATAATTGTTTCCTACTCGATAAGTTCGTTCAAAAATTGTTAAATTAGTTTGTGAAATCGGCTGTCAAATTATTTTTAAGGTTTATTTGTTTCTATCTCTTAGAAATAAATTTCGAAAAGAAACGGGGAATAAGTTGGTTTTATATTTCTACATAAAAAAGAAAGAAATTAAGAATATTTAGCTCGTATGCAGTATTGGACAAAACTCGGCAGACAATATATGGTAGAAAAAATATTATAGATAAACATGGTAGACAAAATATGATAGACAAAATATGTTAAACTAAACATGGTTAAGAAAACATGGTTAACAAAACATGTTCGACAAACTCAAATTTACAACAAAACTTTATCCTCATATTATTTTTAAAATAGCTTATTATATATATTATTATTTATATTATATTTAAAAATAATTTAAAAGGAATTACGAGAAATTACTGCTTTCGATATTTGATGCGTTGACTCAATTAATAAGTCAACAAACCTCAAATCAATCTCTTGTTAACCCTTCTAAACTTGATCATTTATGATCTTCACATTTGTAAATCAAATTTAGGTCGTTTTCAAATCAACAACAAAATGTACAAAATACATACCGGTAAAAGGCAGTTATAAATTTGAAAATATAGTAGGTCAAATATTCAGTAGGTTAAATATTTAGTAGGTTGAAAATTCAGTAGGTCAAAAATACAGTAGGTTAACAATTTAATAGGTTAGAAAATTAGTAGTACATGTTTTAACTAGGTGTAAATATAAATATCAAAAACTGTGGGTTGAAAATCAAAAACGTTATAATCTACAATTTACGAAATTTCAAAATTAGGTTGAGTTATAAGCCACTGTGGCGTAGAGTGTGTAAGACGATTTCTAAAGTTTATTTCGCAAACTGCGTGTTACTGATGATTAAAAAGAGTTTTAGATTTTAACCTAGGAGTGCTTTACCATATAATATTTACATAGTTTATATGACAGCGAATAATTAAATAGTATAATTGTGTCAACTGCCGTTTATTTAGCATGTTTCTAGCTTTATATAGAATACTGATGCATTTGGAAACTCTAGAAGAGATAATATTAATGTAATCTTTCTTAGTTTAGTTTTTATCAATATAGATTTCTAGAACTTATGTTACTTTTTCTATTTTTATGAATAAATTGTAAGCTTTTTAACCAACTGAGGGTGTTATCTTTTATTACATATGATTATAATTTTTGTATTAGAATTTTATGGTTGACGGTATCAAAAATTCTTTGAAACATTCACCTCTGTTTACGAATCTAATTTTCCAACTGTTACAATTACAATAAAGATAAAACACTTTAATAAAAACTGGATTACCAAAAGATTCAAAAAATCTAAAACAAAACTAAGCAAAAGCTATATATAAAATATCTGAAAACAAAAGCACCAGCTGGCAAAATAATTTACAAAGATTACAAAAATCTTTTCGAAAAAATCCGAAAAAATTAATAAAAAACTTACAATTCAAAATTAATTAATAAAGTTAAAAATGACTCAAAACGCACTTGGAAAGTATTAAAAAAATTACTCGAAAACAAAAAGCATGCTAAAGCCATAAATGTCTAAAGTCGATAACAAAAGCTTGAAATTATAGTTTACGAATTCAATAAATATTTCACTGAAATTGGATCAACCCTTTTAAGTAAAATACCAAAACTACGGGGCGGATGCAGCATTTTTTGGTCTTTGAGATCGCTAACTTCCAAACTTGGAGTGAACTCCAAACATTTATATGTTTATACTTATGTCAAATAAGGATGTTTTGCAAAAAGTTGCGATGATTGGATCCTGGGAGCAAAAAAGCCCCAAAATTTTTGATGAAATATTTTTTGTACTATTTTGAATGAGCAGGGGTGGCAAAAACTTTGGGGCTGTTTTGTTCCGAGGCTCCAATCATCGCAATCTTTTGCAAAGCATCCTTATTTGACATAAGTATAAATATATAAATGTTTGGAGTTCGCTCCATGTTTGGAAGTTAGCAATCTCAAAGACCAAAAAATGCTGGATCCCCCTGTAAAAACTCAAACCTCATTTTATTATTTTTTGATAACTATTATTAAACATATTTGCTCTGAAGAATTATCTGCTGAACTATCATTTGATGAGTTTAGGAAAGCTTTAAAATCTTTAAAAAAGAATAAAGAACCTGGTGCAGATGAAATAAACGTAATATAATCTTTTTAAATTTTTCAGAGCATCTATTTATCAAGGTATTTTTCCTAAAAGTTTAAAACTTGCCAGTGATACCCCTATCCACCTGACACCTACTCGGGCCGGTGCGAGAGGTGTCACGTGGGAGGGTGCCATTACAACTATTGTCGAACAACAACAAAAAAAAAAAAAAAAGGTCCTCGTTTTGGAAAATTTGCCGACTGCAATGACGACATTTACCGACTGACTGTCTAAATTTACCAACTAATCTATTGACAGGATCTACATTTGCCGACTAATTAGTCAAAAAGGGTCCAGTTTGCCTATTAAGGGTAAAATTCGCCGACTAAAATTTATTGATGGGGGGGGGGGGGTTCACACACCCAACACCCCCCTATCCCGCCGGCCTTGCCCCTATCCATAAAGAAAGTAACTGATTCAATATTTGAACTGATTCAATATTTGATACAGTTGACCACAACATCTTACTATCTAATGTATAAATGGGTAAAAAGCTATCTGAGTAACAAAAAGCAGTTTGTAATAAACAACTCAAGTGTTCTTGATATTGAGTGTGGGGTTCCTCAAGGCTCAATCTTAGGACCGTTATTGTTTTTAATTTACATCAATAATATGCATAAAGCATCATCTATAGTATCTTCAATAATGTATGCTGATGACACTACTTTATTTTATAATCATAGTAATTTAAAATCGATGTTCGAAACAATGAATACTGAACTGGAAAACTTTAATTTATAGTTTAGAGCAAATAAACTATCCTTAAACTGTGAAAAAACCAACTACATCTTATTTCATAAAACAGGTCAATCAATGTCTCTACCTTTAAAAATTCCAGAATTGCTCATTAACAACATAACAATAAAACGGGAAAAATATGCAAAGTTTCTTGGTGTTCATATTGGTGAAAATTTATCATGGAGAAATCATATTGGACACATTGAAACAAAAATATCATCTGCAATAGGTATTTTATATAAATGTCACCCGTTTCTTGATTTCTATTCAAGAAAAAAACTTTACTTTAGTCTAATTCACAGTCATCTCACATATGCTAATATAGTGTGGGCTAATACACACAAGACAAAATTAATCAAACTACAAGGCTTGCAAAACCATGCTTGTAAAGCAATTCATTATCTAGGTAGAATGGACAATCCTTCCAATGCGATGACAAATATGAAAGTCTTAAACTTGTAAAAACTTAAATTATATTAGATTCTTATTTTTATGTTCAAGTATAAAAATAATATGCTACCAAATTCTTTTTTAGACATGTTCTCGTCATCATTTTCTCAAAGTTATAATCTACGATCAAATAGCTTCCATAACTATTATATTAAAAAAACTAAAACCCGGGGTTCTGAATTTTCAATTATGTCACAGGGTCCTAAAATATGGAAAAATTTGAAAAATCAAAAATTAAAAGACATAAATGGAATATCGTCGTTTAAACGGCAAGCAAAGCTGCATATTCTTAGTTTGTAAAAAAAAAATAAAAATAAAAGTAAAAAAAAAAAAAAAAAAAAAAAAAAAAAATAATAAATAAAATAAATA